TGAACTAAAAATATTCCTATATAGAGTAACAGGAATTTTTCATGACACGCGAGAAAATTATTGGAAATCGAAATATTAGTTCTATTTCGAAAAAGTTACAAGATTAACGTTATATCCACATAAGATATTATCGTCTCTTTTTACACCCTCAAAAAGAGGAACAAATAAAAAACTTGATTTAAACGAGTTTTTAAAGAGATTTTATCACGTCGTGCCTTAAATACCTCTTAAAAGCGAAATGTACCATCCCCTTTAAATAGCGATATCTCTTTTTTGACCCTAGTGACCCCCAAGTTTTAGTTAATAAATCAATACGAGCACTAAACGACAAAAAAACTATTCCGCTTAAATAATCTTTACAAAGCAATTTAAAAAGATTGAGTTATTAAGTTATGTTTGTTATGAAATCCTTTTGGGTGTAACAAAAAGGATATAAACGAGATAAGAACTTATACATTTTTGCCTTTTTAAACCAATGGCACTTTGCCAAAATTTTTCCGTGGAATGGAAAATCGATATGAGCAACACCCAACCGGGAAAGTGTTGTGAATGAATGAACTTTGGGAGTTCATTCAAGCCATATCTTGAATAAGATATGACGCAACAAATACGTAATCTGTTGAAAGTATTAAAACGATCAATCATCAAGTCTACCTAGAAATAGAATCTTATTGCTTCCTGCATTATTAATTAAATTAACGTTATTAATATAATGAAAATTACCTTTGATGTTTTGCCGAATATATGTAAGTGGCTAAATAATTTTATGATTATTTAATTTTTATTGAATAAAATTAGATTTAGTCGGAACTAAAGCTTAACTATTAAAGTTTCGTATAAACTCAAAAGGTCTTTAATAAGAATAAAATACCGAGTACGCCACGTAGAACTGACAATGGCTTTTCAAGATGCGAGCAATCTGTTAAGAAAATGAAAAGAAGAACGATAAAGTTTAAATTAGTTCCCTAACTAACTGTACGGCTTTATAAGAAATTTTACTAGAAGAAATAAGCAACTACTAAGATTTATTGCCAATTTAATTCTGAGTAAAAACATTTTATGATCATAAAAACTTTTGTTCTATTTTTTATATCAATTCCTTCAATATTTTGAATGGTGTAACGCAATCCTTATTTTTTTTATTGAACAGGATTAAACATTAAGGTTGGCAGATTTTGATTAGCACCAAAACCTATTTACCTCTAATTGGCGATTAACTCAGCAGAGTCGTCCTATCCACCTCAGGGGATAATGTGCATTCACGCATATTAGCACCATAATGGATACACCAACGTATTCATCTAAAACCAGCGTGTGTCTAATATAAGAGGTACTTACATTGGCTAAATATTAGGCTAAATTGTTTTGAAAAAAATTATTTTGCTGAACACAACACATTTTGAACATTGTTTACATTGTTAGATAGTAACTTTAACAATTAATTCTTTTTGCCATCGAGTAATTCATAAAGACTTAAACAACTTTTAATTTAAAAGAAAGATTCAATAAAGTGAATAAATTCAATTACCAAATAGTTAAGTAATAGGTAGATTTTAAAACTTAGCTTTGTGTTTATAGATTAGATTGGACTTCTCGGCTGCAAATTGAAATTTGGATTTCATCAATGGAGTACTGAAGAGATCGGGATGTCGAATGAATTCTGGATCGGGTTGTACCGATGTTCAATTTATTTAATTTAATTAACTGAACCTTGAAATCCCCTTTTAAACTACAAAAGAGGATTTTATCAAATCAGCGACAATATTTTATTTTGTCATAATTAATTAACGTGAATTGTTTAGCATGTAAATCAGCTATTTGTTTTAGATAACTCACGTGACACTATTTGGATAGCAAAAATGTTATATATCACATATCAAAGATTTTGATTATGTTCAATCATAAAAAGCTATAATTATACTAAAATTTATAAGAACTATAGTATCTTGTACTGGGTGAGGCAAAATTCATGGAGTGATTTGAAGGTGTAAAATTGATAACATCAATTTTAAAAAAGTATACAGGGTGAGTTATTAGTATCCGGCGGACGATAGTTGCCGATGATTGTCGACGATTACACATTATTCTTTAAATTCTAAATATCAGGAAAACTACTAAAGTTAGATATATGACATACTTATCATTAATTAAAGGTAACTTGATGGGCAATTCAACCAGCACACAATATACAGAATGTTTCATTTAAAAAACTTATGAAAAAGCTATTTGAAGAACATCAAAAGTAACTAAGCTTTATGAACACGCTGTATAGCGTATCTACTATCTTTGAATAATATCATTTACCTACTGGCATTGACTATTATCTATCATAGTTTCAAGGCAAAATTGGAAAAAATGTCGTTTTTACATCGTTTTTAAAAAGATCCTGCAATGGACACATTTTGGAAAAACAACTGGATATCTCAAGAACTATGAACGCTATGAGTTAGTAATGTATAATCTACATACTCCCCGTTACGCCTAAATGAAACACCCTGTAGAAGTGAAAATAATTTTACGTAATAGAAAGTGGTGAGTCAAACAACTTTTGTATAAAACATTTTTCTTTCTCAAACGGTTTGGTATCTATCGACCGCCGGGATAACTCACCTTGTATACATAGTACTATGTCAGTCAAATAATCTCCTTTGATATTTGTGCTTGTTTTGGAGCATTTTGAATTATTGCACGCAAAACATCTACCTTTAAATTGGCAATGTCGTCTTCAATGTTGACTTTCAACACCTGCACGATTTGATGATTTGTTGCGATAAACTCGAGATTTCAAAAAAACCCAAAGAAAGAAGACTGGCGCCGTCTGATTCGACGATTTGATCTGCCAGTTCAAATTATCCAAACGAAATTACGCGACCCAGAAAGTGATGTTTCAAAATCTTCATTATTCCCCGAGCTATGTGAACGGTTATTCCATCCTGTTGGAATCCAACTCATGCAAGTTGCGGCAGAAAAAATCCTTCAACATCTGTTTGTAGCCCTCATTACCGTAATGATAAGAACTGCTGGCGTTCAACCTAACCCAACCCAACCCAACCCAAACCAACTCAACCCAACCCAACCCCAAAGAAAGAAGTCTGACACAAGAAATCTGCCAGTTCAAATAGTCTAAACGAAATTACGCGACCCAGAAAGTGATGTTCCAAAATCTCAAAAAACTCATGCAAGTTGCGGCAGTAAAAATCCTTCAACATCTGTTTGTAGCCCTCATTACCGTAATGATAAGAACTGCTGGCGTTCAACCTAACCCAACCCAACCCAACCCAAACCAAACCAAACCAACCCAAACCCAACCCAACCCAACCCCAAAGAAAGAAGTCTCATGTCGTCTGACCCGAGGATTTGATCTGCCAGTTCAAATTGTCTAAACGAAATTACGCCACCCAGAAAGTGATATTCCAAAATCTTCATCATTCTCCGAGCTATGTGAACGGTTATTCCATCCTGTTGGAACTAATATTGCTCGAACCCAACTCAAGCAAACTGCGGCAAAAAAAAATCCTTCAACATCTGTCTGTAGCCAGCACTACAGTAATGATAAGAACTGCTAGCGTTCTCAACTAAGTACCAATCACTATTTCATTGCAAATGCCGCATCAAACAGTCACTTTGAAAGGCTATTCGTGCATTTTCCGGGTATTCGTTATAATTTCGTCTTCTTGCTTGAAGTTTATCAGAGCCTGGGAGTAAGTTAACCTAATTTAACAGTCAACGGGCAGCAATTAGTGAACAGTTAGAACTTTGTACATCTTGATATCTTTCACCAAAACGTCTGCTGATGTCGAATAGTGTGCTCTTTAATGTTTATGGGACGTCCCCGCTGCAGCAGCAATATTTTCGGCCGAATCAGTATCTATAGTGGATCCATTTTGCACGAGACGTTCACCTAAACGCATAATTGTTCGTGCACATTTTGCAAAATGATGATTAAGCAGTAACAATAATTCCGAATTCTTCAGGTGTGTATCATTACATTACTTGTTGTCAACTAATTCCCTATCTGTGTACTACATAAATGTCATAGCACAGGAATATTTGATACATTTACGAAAATTTTGACACATTTACTTTATTCTTTATCTTTGATAAATTGAACAAAATCTTCGAAATTCGGAGAAGATGTGTGCAAATCCAAGCTGAGGCACCCATTTTATTTACTTTATTAATTAATTCTCCTCAATTTCTTTACAAGAATGATTACTTCAATTAGAATTAAATTAAAATTTTGTAAATAAAAAAAAATTGTAATAATAAATAACTTTACAATTACAAAAAATATTAACCAAGTGAATTAAACTGTTTGTAAATGATTATCTCTAAGTTTATTGGGAGAATTAAGCCAATGAAATTAAACTTTACAAAAAAAAGGAGTTTACTTTAACTTTCACTAAAGATATCTAATTAAATCCTGCAATTACTCCGAAAGTGGATACCTTTCGGTCGTTTTGTGTAATCACTTGATTACCCTTTTAATTACTTTCAGTGATCCCGAACCTTGTCCAACATCTTACAGATTAAGTAAGATTTGCGTCTGAAAAGTCCTTAACCTAAAATTACCATCGTCACGATACAATTTTCTTAATTTCTTTTTGGACAATCTACAAAACGCGGAGAAAATTCTTAATTATTTTAACTATTTAATTTTTGTTTGTTTAATTTAGTTTCAAGTGTGCGTTTATACTAAAATTTTGTTATTTATAAACGCTGTTATAAACTCATACGTTATGGAAATTACTCGCATCTACTTAAGTAGGTGTATGGTTTTGTTTACTGTTTACGTAAGGAACAAATACGTAACGCTAGGAGCATATAGTCAACAAGTGCAGTTATTTTAGGGTTAACCCAGTTTAGTTTCGATTCTGAATGGTTAGTTATTTGAATGAGAACGCCCGAATTAATTCTGTTTTCAGTTACACAATTTATTACGTTCACCAAAAGCTCTCTTTTAAAATTGGAATAACAGAAAAATTATTTTTTGTTCTTACCTTTCTTATGGGAATGTGGCACATATTCTATAAAAATAAAAAACAATGATTATTAAAGTACTTATTCTTCTTAACTAAAAGAAGAAAGTATTGTTGATAAAAAAATTTGTAATGTAACGCGAAACGAATGGATTTTTATTTTGTACTACAACATTACAACAAAAAATAAAGAAAAAGCCGACCAAAAAGAATTTAAAAAACGCAAACTCAGTTGTTATGTAATTGTTGCATTAGAAGAATGTTTTTCTAAAAACAAATATTTATTATAATTTTTTAAATTTGTAGAATTTTAAAACAATTTTCAACTAAAATATTTACTTTATTTATTTTCTTTGTTTAGTGTAAATATAATTTGAAACGATATCAAAAGTATTTAGAATTTAAATCATTTCAAGGTGGCATTTACTGGTTTTTGCAACAGTACTATTTCATTTGAAATTTCATCACTATTTCTAAAACAATGTGAGAAAATTTGACGTTGCTATAAGTTCACCTTTGTAAAATCAGTTTCAAATTGTTCTTAATTATTCATAAACCCTCCTCCGTTGGACCTTGGGGCGTTATTTCCTCGTCGCCGGCTTTATTAAGTTTACCGGCTTGTGAGAATGGAAAGCTCTGGGGAAAGAAAATACGCCAAGCTAGCGTTACGTGTGGAAAAGTAAATATCTTACAACCATGGAAAAACGAACACGTTTCATGAAAAAAAAATTATAAATTTGTGACCTTACATCGAAGTCTTTCGTATGCAAAATCGACAAGATATGGTGCAATCCATTATGATGTCACACAGAGGCCATGTCGGATATAATATGGATATTAATGCATGAATATGTGCATATAGAAAGGTTGAAGGTTTCAATACATTATTGGAGTACATAGTAGCAAAGTTATATATTATCTCCATTATCTAAAGTAGTCATCCATATTAAGAAGAAACCTTGAACTATCGTTAAATTAGATTTACTTTGAATATTTGTATTAAATGCATAAGATGAAAAATGTATACAGAGTAGAATAAAAGTTTGGAGATACCTAAATTACTCCTAAATGGGGAATGAGTATCGTACAATTTTTTTATATGTCTATTTTGACGATATATTAATGACATGAATAGATAAAAAAATATCTTCTTCTTTATATTCTTCCAAAATTCTTCCTATCTTAAATCCTATTTGTATTTATTTATTTTCAAGATGTAGTGAAGAATTTGAATGTATCGTATTGATGCATTATCATGATTAGCAACGATCTTTCAGGAAAATGAATCATTTCTCCTGCTAAACGAGTAATTATGTGCTTTGGTGTCGCATATGGTTCTTTAGTTGTGACGATATTAATAAGCCAGAGTATGGCCATATATTGAGCTTGATTTGACAAGTAAATGTAATATTAGATAATAAGTTCCAGCTCCCAGTTCCTGGTTAATTGAATATGATCAAAATACTTTTCTTTATACCTACATATTGTTATATTACTATATATTGTAAATATTTATTTTTCCAAGATCTACACTCAGGTTTTAAGAGGGGACACTACTGAGATACCCACCAATATACCCAGAAGGGATTTAGAGCTATTTATTTTTTAGAAAAAATGTAGTAAATGTTAAATTTTATACCGCTGCGAATAGAAAATTAAAAAATCTGAATAAAATAAATTTTTTGGCAATTAATAATCTTTTTTTTCTCTGACGTTAATCGTTATATTATGTGTGGTTTACGATAACCTTCGATTTGTTAATATCTCAGTTTTTTATTGTTTTCCCATTTAGCAAATTATTGCTAAATCAACATTACGAAAACGTATATTATTGTTCGGCTCTTTACCTCCTTTATTGTATTAATATGATTCGATTACGATTATTATTTATTTTTCTGAGAAATCTGGGTCGATGAGCTTTTACTTTAATTAAAAAAAATGAAAATGATAAATAAAAGCGAAAGAAAATTGATGTAAATACTACGCAGTTATAGAACCCGCTTTCAGTAATATTAAAGACATTTATTTTTAATAACGAGGATTCTTTATAATACATATTTGTATGTATATATATGTATTTTTCTATTGATATTTGTAATAATTCCAAAAATACTCAGTCGGTAGATAAAATCTATTCATCCCCTGATAAAACCGTGTATTGTAGGTAAACAACATAAAAATCTAATGAAACCATATGAATAGTAATAAAGTACCCCAATTTATGGTTATAACTTCCCGGTATTTTAATTTTCACATTAAAATGACGCACATGATAAAGATATTGTAATATCAAAGATGACGAGTCATATTGAAAAACTCTAACAATAAATTTTGTTATAAAAATGGTTCAAAAGATTTCAAAAGAAAATTCATTAACCATTAACAAAAGCATATAATCCTTCATAGATAGAACAGTGTGTTTGAACATTTCAGCTTCCCAACAAAGATGCTGTTTAGAACGTTCGATTACAGTTTAAAGTTTGAATATGCTCATATTGTTCTCGAAACTCGAACGTAATGAACTTAATTAAATGAAGACAGGGCCCTAGATGCGAAATATACATAACACATATATTATGTTTCGAACTAAATTAAAAAATTTATTGTAATTACTATTTTGTATGAAATTCGTTATCATTTAATCAAATTTTAGTTAAAATTTAGTTTTTAAGAATCTATGAAAGATTATACATCGTAATTTATTTACTTAAAAGCATCGCTTTTATTTAGGAGATTTTATAAGTAGATTGATAAAATTAAAAGTGAAACGTTAAAAAGAAAACTGTTTGAGGTTATATAAAGAACACAAAAGAAAGCATTTTTAATTAGGTTTCGTCGACGCTTTCAATGCGAAGCCTTTTTCTAGGATTTAACCTTGACCCAAACATTTAAAAGGTGACTACGGGAATCGTTTGTCTTATAAATAATAAACGAAATACAGGGAGCTTTTACTGAAATACGGAAAGTAAATAATTCGAAATTTAATGAGAAGCAAAAAAAAAGTTCCTTCTTACTCTCTTATATATAAAAAATATATAAAGACCGTATAATAAGTAACTAAAGTAAAATAAAGCGAACAATTACGATATCTATTACTGAGTTGGACATTTCCCAAATGCACCTGATACGGTCGAACTCACGTTACAATCATGTTACATTTGCACCTATGTATCTACCTAATTTGCAATATCGATGAAATAATTAACTGGATATGTTATGTCTAATTTGCCACATACAGTAAGTGCATATAGTTGGTGAGTTACCACAATAGTACGACTAAATAAAAATATGGCAGCTAGTATAACTGAAATTGTACCAAATTTATTAGCCTAACTGAAAAACAAACAACGAGAGAAAAAGGAGATTCTAATTATTCTAGAAATAGTCCATCTTGAATTCACAGGTAGCATAATTAGAGAAATGTCTGAATCTGAAATTGTTACTCATGAACAAGAACATCTTTAACGCCAGAAGAAACACAGCATGTAGTTCGTGGTTTACGCTGAAGTATTAGAGCAACTCGAGATAAGGCCAAGATTAGTTCCCATGAAGTAATAACTTCTTCATCTTCTTTGCTGAAGCCATAAAAGCTTGTTCTGCCCATTCTGCTTGTATTTCTTGTGATGCGGACGAACAGCTATATTTCTGTCTTTTTGGATGCTGGGCTGCAATCTGTAGCAATCCTCGAGCAGTCTATTCCTTTCTTATCTTACCACATCTTCCGTATCACATTCCTCCCGCATCGCCATCTCGTTAGTACGAGCCATTCTTTTGGCATAATATGTCATTATAGCCCCCATGCAGGCTTTGTACATCCTTACTTTAGCCTCGGTAGATATGCAATTGTTTCTCCAGATGATCGTTTAGTACTCCTACTATTCTGACTGACTTGTTGGCCTGCTAAGGTTTTTTGTTTAAATTGTCGTATTGTTTATATTAAGTTATTTCCTTAAAGAGTGAAATAGTGATACTGGTTCTCCAGATCTTTAGAGTTTGTACGATCTGCACCATTTTGTTACGCAGCTCCGTGAGTTGTTCGGTTAGTCCTCATTGGGTATATTGACCGGACCTGGTGACTTGCCATTTTTTAGTTGTTTTATCTACACCATAGTTCTATTTCCTCAACTTCCTCAGCATCTGCTCTTTCTAATTTTTGTCCTTTGGCGAGCCTTTTCTTTTTGTATACAGACTTCTCTTTTTGTTGCTCTGAGCATTTTCCATTCCTTTGCAAATATAGTTGATGTAGTTTCTTGGTGTCTTGTTGGATTTATACGTTATGGATCTTCTTTTCTCCTTGAGTTAGTACTTTTACTTCTGGTATGAACCAACAATTTTTGAAAAAATGTTTGATGTTTCGTATGCCATGCCTATATTGCTTTAAATCTAAATATCACGGCTCATAGATCGAATCTAATACTCTAATCCTCGTATTCACCGAGTTATCTAATCGATGTATAAATGTCAAAGCATGTGTACTGAACGTGGATAGTTGCTCGAATTAATGTATACATTAAACTTATTCATTAAAATCGTTTAAAATGTAAATTAAAAGATCGTTAAAATACCGTTGTAATCCCACGTTTGAAATATGGATAAAATAAAACGAATTAATTTTGTCATAAATCAAAAACTTGAAGTAATAAAACACCAGACTACAATATTTGTTTTTCGAACATAAGATCAATATAGGATACGAAAGTTAACTGTTTCGGAAACTTAAAACCAAAGACAAACTAAACAAATTTAGTTTAATGCGTGATGTAGAACTATCAAATAATATGAATGTAATTTCATTCCCAGCAAGTGACGAATGACTCTAACGTTTTACGCAAAAATTTTTAATAGGCAAATTTATTGCGAATCTTTAAGTCTACCGACACCAATCAAATTTATTGATATCAAGAGTCATTAGCACTAGTTGGTCCAAGAATGTATGGTTTACTAAAAATCGATAGGCCATTGCGACCTCTCGTAAGCGCAATTAATTTAGCTACATTCCAGCTTGCGAAACAACTCTACAAAATATTATCGCCCATTACAAAAGGCAAAAGGCACGAACTCACAAAGGAAAAAAATTCAACACATTTTGTGGAATTAATTGGCAATATTTCCTTGGCTCTATAGGACATATTAGTCAGCTTCGACGTGGAATCACTACGTGAAGGGCGACAACGAAAACTCATACCAGAGGGATAACCGTGATTATCATTAGATGTTGGCGATAAAACTTCTTACATGGAGCTGTTCCTTAGAGCCAGTTCTTAGAAATCAAAGTTATGGCTGCAGTAATACGGAAATACGACAAACAAAGGTTTAAGACAGGTTTAAAACACAGCAGTCAGTGGTCGCAGAACATTTCCACATAAATTTTTTTTGCCAGGAGTAGTCACTACCACCAGTGGCTGACTAGAGTGGCCATAGAATTTATCGTCATAAGAACAACATTAATTGAGAGGATTGTATGGAGCTAATCCGAAACTGGAATATTATACTGAACATCGAAAACGTTCCATTATGGCGTGCTTTGCCTGAAAACACGCAAGCTTTCAGACTAACTTAAAAGACAATTCCGTTGCATACTATAATTCTCAAAAGACGTGATCTTTTTTTTAATTTCGCAGCTATATGAAAAGAAATCGAAAACAAAATATGTGTGAAATATATGATGATCAAGATGCAGATATTGATTTAGAAAGATTACAAGTTTCTAATTTTTGTATCGTTATATAAAAGAACATTGGAAAAGAAGTAGCAGAGGAGAATATGTTAGAATGGTTAGAACTAGATAACAAGTGATGTGATGATGGTGGAAATTCTAGACCTAGTTTTGTACTAGCACTATCACTAGAACTAACACAAAAACTAGAATCATTCAAGAATCATATGACCCACATCCACATTGAAATTGAAAAATTCTCTAATTGGTTGTTTGTTTAATTTTACGATAACAATTTGTTGATCCAAATTATCACATTTTACATCAAAGTACGTCAGTCGATATAACTACACAAAAGCAAATTTATCAAATAAGCATTCCACGTGCTCTCATACAAAATCAATAAAAATAATAACATAATAGGGACATGTTGTTTAATTCGTAAAAATAGGTTTATTTTTAATATTAGTATTGGTGATGAAATTGATGATAAAATGTCAAAGTTAAATATATTAAAACGTTATGCCTAATAATTAATTTTTAGTTGATTGAGTATGTAAATTCTAATTTAAATTCTAAATTGTAATGTTAACAACTAAGTTCTTTGTTATCTTTACGTTTATATTGATGAATTAACTTGAAATTATGTGAGATTTACAATGAAAATGTTATAAAGACAATGAATGTAACTAAATTAAATCTCCGTTAGAATTGATTTTCTATATACAAGCCTTTCGCATTTATTAAGTAAGATGCACCCCGAGTGAGTTTGATAAACTCATTGTTCTTTGTTAACACACCTGCTTCCCATTTACCTTTTGCAACCGTGTATAAAGCGAAATAATGTTACGGGAGTTTCCTTTAAGCAAAACCTTGGAACGTTTTCCTCGTCGTCGCTTTCAAGAATATGATAGGAAACTTTGAAGAGAACACTATTTCCGTGCATGAATATATTATAATATTACTTTTAAGATAGAAAATAGAAAGATTCTAGATATAGAAATAAACATAAAAATTTTAATTTATATTGAATGAGTTTTAAGTTTATTTTAATTAAAAGTAAAATATTGAAAAATATTTTATTTATTAATATTTATTTAAATAAATTTGTGTTATATATAAAATTATATTATATATTATTTTATTAATAATTTTGAAATTATGTACTTACTTTGCGTGTTTTTATTTTTTGGATGTAAAACAGTTACCACCCGGAAACCGTCTGCACAAAACGGGCCAAAAAGCACGACTGTTTGGTTCGCAAACCGGCAAACTGTAATCTTTGCGGCTGAAGAAGCGCGTGCGTCGGGACGCCGGCGTCGCGCGAGCTTTAACACACGCACCACAACCGACAAGGACACGATCCGATGGAAATTACAGGGAGGAGCGAGGTTTTTCTTTATGTTCTCGATCCCTGAGGCTTATTAAATTCATTTTTCTTGTATGTTGCCTCGAGGTTTCGCCTTATTTCTTAACACGCGGGGTAAGTGGCCTCGTTCAACCTTTTTCATACAAGGATATCCGTATTACTGTTATTAATAAACCGTAATCACCAAAGAAGAAAACTCCGCAAGCACCTATTCATCGAATTCTAAAGGAAGTAATATTAAAATGTTTTTTCTTTTTATATATATAAATTTAACATACTTAGCTTTATTCTCCTTCATTAATCATTGTTACTTACTTAGGTGTTATTTTAGTAAAAATAGACAAAAACACTTCAAATGTTAAACAAACAATATAGTTAATATTGGTTGTTCAGTGTATCTAAGCCGTGAGTTAGTTTTATCGCGGAACTAACCACTTCAATTCAACGAAGGACTCTTGCAAAACATATGTTCAGTGCAAGGGTTGCATTCCATAGTAATCCATGATGTTATAAAAGCTCTATCAAGAGCTTTGTCAATTAATAATAAAGTATAACTGAACAGCTAAATAAATTGATTATTTTAATAACTTTATTTATTACATCTACAATTTTTTATTAAATTAACATAAACTTTTTTTATATAATAAGGTGTTAAGCTATAAGCTTTAATTAATCATCACTTTTAATTAAGTTGAAATCAAAATTATATTTTTATAAATGCTTTTGTTTTAAGTTTTAAATAATTATTTTGAGACTTATAATCATTTTAAAATAAAAAAAATAAACATAAATCAAACTTTAAAGTTTTAAAAACGAGCTTTTTAATTCAAATTAGTTACATTTCAAATAAAGTTGGCAACTCTCAACATAACCTTTTCATACTCATCATTATAAGTTTGATTCCTCCATCGTAGAAAGAGACACCCATTTACTTTTTAACAAGTAAAACAAAGACAACACATATTTCCCTTTCCACATCGATCTATTTGACATTCGACAACTCTCCTGTCAATGAATTGTCAAAACGTACCTAACCAAAACAATTAGTTCTCATTTAATTTAACGTTCTTTTTTAATCAATTTGTGTTTTATTAAACTTTGTAGCCATAACTGAACCCGTGAATATGCCATCTGCGGTCGCGGAACAACCGGATCGCGATGAGCTGATGCGTAAAGCGTTGAAAGCGCATATAATGCGCGAAAGACAACGTAAAAAACAAGAACGCGAGGCGAAAGTTGAAGAGGAACGCCTACGTAAAGAACGAGAAGCTCGTGAACGCCAAAACGTGATGACTTTGGGTGAAACTAGAGATCAATTGGCTGAAATGGAGGCGAAATTAGTATCGTTGAAGGAGGAGAAACACCAGTTGTTTTTGCAGTTGAAAAAAGTGTTGCATGAGGATGATAATCGTAGGAAACAATTACATAAAGAAGCAAAGTTAGTTTATATCTTAACATTAAAAGGTTGTATTGATGAATATTTCTTTTAGCGATGTTCCTATGCCTGTTGTACCTGGATTACCACATCAAACTCATCATTTGTATCAACCAATTAATCAATCGTTACAACCGAGAGCTCAACCTCTTCCACAACCTGGCTTTAAACAAACTAAGAGGCAAAGAAGTCCAAGTCCGCCACCTGTTCCAGTTTCAATGTATCATCAAGGTTATAATTATAAAGCACCAGCTGTTGTAAATCCTACTTATCATTCACCCCAAAGTAAGTATCATTTTTTTAAAAATGGGTTAATTATTAATTTAAACAATACATTATATATTGATGAATTTACAAGTTAATTTTAGAAATCACATTAAGCCCAAGATAATTTAGGTTTTGAATCAAAAAGGATAATATAAACTCAGATAAAATACTAATAAAATGTCTTTATTTGCAGAAGATAGCCGAACACACGAATTAGTAAGGACTGTATTACGTACGAGTGAGTTAACATCTCACTAATTAAAGCTTACCCAGAGGTTTCTTTTTCTTAAAAAAAAAGAGAGAAATGGGGCATTTATCCTGCTTTATGTTTATTGTGTGTCCCAAATACCTTTTGCTATGCCAGTGTTCATAATTACATTGAAATAAGTAACAAAGTATAATTTTATCAAAAAATGATTAAGATTTAAACGTTTTTTTTTTTATTATTTGCTAAAAAGTATAAAATTTCTTGTTACTTAAATTCATGTCTATTTTTAATCTTAACATAAAATGTGTCATCCTAAACTAAAAAGTAAATCACCCAATCAATGCTTTAAAATTGCTAAAAAATAGTTATTAAATTAAAATTATTGGTTTGTATAAATTCTTTTATTTTATTTTCAGAAACTCCGCAATATTGTGCGAATACAACCCATCCAAGTTATTATCCAGTACAAGATTTAGCGATTTTTTCACCGCATTATCTACCATCTAGAGAACCAAGTCGGGGTTTGTATGAAAATTCGAGGGCTCAAGTGAGTTACATCGAACAAAAACCAATGGATCATTATGCGTTGGCTTCTCAACCATCTCATTTATTACATGGAACATCGATTCCGATAAGTCCCGCACAACCGAAAAACGCGGGTAGTATCACCGCTGGGTATCCAATTAGGAGTCAGACTCAATATCAACCAGCTCCAGCACCAGCTGCTGCCATTTATACAACACAGAGTAGACCGTTGTATCAATCTCCAAATACTCCTATGAATTATACTAGGGATTAAAGAGTTTTGTCAAGCTTTAAAAGTTTTTTAAAAATATAATACATTTGTGTATATATATAAAATTAACAAATAAGGAGTGGGATTTTTGCTGTAGCCACAAAACAGTTTTAACGGATAAAATGACGCTTAATATTGCTAAATAAGAATTAATTGATGTGATTAATAAAAATAAATATTGGAGATTTATTCTTTGTTTTTAGATTTTTAAAATAATTTTTGTTTAAAAATGTAGGTTTGTATGTAATAAAATCGTATCTCTAGGTGAGTAGATATTAAAACAATCAGTTGATTCATTCATTATTGGAAATATGAAAGTTTTGAAGTAATTCTTTCATGCAAATAAACTATAATCAAGAAAATACCAGATTAATTTATATTTTGTAGAAATGCAAGACGATTAAACTCGTCTTCCAGAAGACTATAGATATTTTTTTAATGGAAAATGAAAATATGAAACATTCTGGTGCAGATTATCATTCAAAACCAGCTTTGAACATTACAATCTAGTAGTAATAGTACTCAATTTCTTTAGACAGTGCAAAATGGACAAATCAATGCTCTTGAAGGTATTAACATATATTTTACTGGCAATAAGCAGCACATAGGAACAGGAAACCAATACAAGCATGTATTAGCAATATAATTAGTGAAATAGCCAATTAAATAAAAGAGATAATTGAAATGCTGGACATTATTCATCAACAAAAATATAAATCAGATCCAAATACATCTTCATTTGATGACTGAACTATAAATTTTGTTCTATATAAAATCTTTGTAAAGAAACTGACACAAGTTGACACTTACCATGTTTGCAAGAAGCCCAAATTCTAACAGATTTAACACTTCATGTCTCTTTGAAGGAAACTGAATCTTTTCTAGCATTTCCGCCAACAACTTGTCACGTTGAAAGAAGTTTTAAGACAATGAAGAAAGAATAACTGAGTGGATTGAGCATCATAAATATCCATCAGAAGGATAATGATCATCTTTACAATAATGTCATAGATATTTTCGCCTAGATTACAGAGAAATTAGTCTTTTTATGTAATAAAAAAACTAAGATCATAGATTATACAAGATGTTTTCGAAAAAGAAACTTGATACTGTAAACCTTGAATAAATTTATTAATAAAATAACCTTGGATAGAATAAGGATAAAGATATGACCCCGTTTTTTTAAGAAAAGCTGATTAATAATGACGTTAAACGGCTTATATGCGCAAAAATTAATCTAATAGTCGTTAATAACAATATTTTCTTGGGTTAGGTTTACATGTTTTGCTTATGTTAGGTAATTATTACCATGTTTTCGGTTTAAAACAGAATTCGTTTTTCTCAATTTATATACAGGTGTATCAGGTATGAGTAAAAAAAATTTGAGTGGTCCTCTTTGTGAATAAAAAAATCTTATAACACAATGTCCCATTCTTTGTCCTTAAGATATGATACGATAAAGTTAAGGGTTCACAAGTTTGATTACTACTGGTTAATTAATTATACTAAGCAACTTTGATTTGTAATTTGTTTCTAGTTTTGTAATTTTGTAGTTTTTAATACAATAGGCAAGTTTACTTATTAAAACCTAAATTTTTGTAAATTTTCACATTAAAGTGATAAATTTATTCGTATAAAGTAAACAACATCTAAAAAAATATCTCAAAAATGACTTATATGTGTCAAATTAAAGCTATATACATAAGCAAAGCCAACTTACAAGCTTTGTTAGTATAATTCTTTATACAGCAGTACTTAAACTTTATTAGAACTTATATTAGAATGGGACATTGTATAATAAGAATTTTTTATTTACAAAAAAGGGACCTATAACCCCTCAATTTTTTTTTACTCATACCTGATACACCCTGTACAGAGTGGTCTGCAACAAAAGTCTGGAAACGCCTAATTTTCTCTCTCTTCATTATTTGATATATCGACGCTGCCAAGTCAAAACGGCATAATGGACATTTACTTGATTTTTCAGGAAACAAAACATCAGATTGAAGTTTGTTAGCGGTTATGCCGTTTTAACTGTGTAGCTAAATAAAAAGTGACCACATACCCATTTTGGGATATAGGGATGTCAGATGAAACATTTGCAATGTTACCAGATTTACTGTAACACGATGTATATAGTGTAATTATTAGAATCTATCCTTCAATACTAGTTAGGCTATATCTCACCCTTAAGATTTTATGTAGTCAAAGATCGCAAATAAAATAAGAAAATTATATTTATTTATTAAAGAATTAACATTAAATTTTTGCTGCAGTCAAAATGCCTAGGTAATTAAGTGTTCAAAATGTGCTTCATTGTTAATTTGGGGAGTATCCTAGCCGATGGTAGATTACTTTCCTCCATTATTCCTCGATAATTCGTTGCATTAATCCTAAACATAACTTTTATTGGAGATATTTGAAAAGTCGAGTTTATAAAACTAAATTTGGAAGTCTAACAGAGTTGAGATCCGGCGAGTTACCTCATATCTCATACCTCATATCTTTATCAACGCCGAGAATTTACGCCAAATTGAGTTTACTCTTGGTGAAACCATATCTAATTTAATTTGGCTTTAAAAGGTTTCTAATTTCATATCTATAAAATGTCATATATTATTTCGTTGTATAAAGACCCAATTAACTGAATCCCTACTATTACCCAACCATACAATCAACTTTTATGATCTTTGAGTACGATTTTCATGAATTTACATCGTTCCAATACTTTCTTTTATGCCGATTTACATTCCCACACAATATAAAGGTTGCAATCTCCGTAAAGCATATCTTGTTAACGAAATTCTTGTTAGTTGAGTGTACGTCCTCTTGAGTGTTTTACGCTTCCAATATTTTAAAGTGCTTCACAGTATATTTCGCAGAACTCTCCAAAACACGTCAAACTATTGACAGATTTAGTTAACAACCTCTCGTAGAAAGACTCGTTTAGAAAGGTAGATTTCAATAATGAAATAACATACTCATAATATCAAAAATAATAAATTAGGCATTTCTATACTTTTGTTACACGCTATATTAATTAATTAAACATTTTAATTTAGTCCCTAATTAGTGACCACTTTCAATTACCTGAGTATAAATACGTTGAATTTGTTTAAAAAAGTTTTTGAGCAATTTATTTAATGTAAAGTTGAAAATAAGCAAACAATAATATTCTTGCAATATTTATTTTTTAAGATATAATAAATAACTGTTAACACTAAGGCTACAATTCTGCTTAAATTTATGTAAAATACGTTGTCTTAAAAGAGCTAACCACGTTTCTTTTATCATCTAAACGTTTAAATCCGCCCACAAACACATAATAAACACTATACATTGTACAATTTCTGCAAGAAAACGACTTTAATGTTTAAGTGGAGTGATTTTTCTTTAATTCTCTCTCCTTGTATTTTTTTTTAATTATTTTTCCTTTAATCGGCTGCCTTCTAAAATGATATGCTTTAAACAGATCACAAAAATCACGAAGAATTCATATATATTTTTAAACGTTTATCTCCTTTCAGCACCTTCCATGTGTTTATTAATCAATTAATAATCAAATTTTAAAATAAATAATAAAAATTAGGTCGAAAATCTACCTAAATTTACAATTTTAATCGTTAAATTTTTTGTTTATTTTTTAATTATTATCGCTTTGGTTCTTAAAAAATATCCCTTCATTTTTTTTTGCTTTCTATACACACATTTTAAGTTGTATACGTCGATTTGTTTTTATCTTCCGATTGAATAACCCAACGTGATCTTAAAGAAGCCATGTTTTTCAAATTTTGATTATGCGTCCACGGTTTTAATTGTCGCAATTCATTTTCTAAGAGTAATGCATCATTCGGTCGTCGATCTTCCATTTGTTTTGGGGCTATCACCGATACAGCTATATAAGCTTTCGGGTTATTATCCATGTTAGTGTGATACGAAGGATTTCCAGTTACTCGATGATAAGCAAAATTTCTTGGATACTTTTCATTTTTAATCGATTTTGATGGTATTTCCCATGGATATTTTGTTGTACTCGTATCTTGGAAATTATCGGATCTTGAATATAGCCATTGATCATCGTCGGATTTTATTCTTGTAGGATTAGGAGGTGTGGAAGTACTTATTGACTTGGTTTCAAATTGGTATAGGTTGTTGGTGGTTGTCGTTTCCGGAATTGGAGTTGTGAGTTTTAATGTACTTTCTGAATAATATTGTTTGGTGGTGAAGCCTTGCTTTTTCTTCTTAATTTCATCATTATTCTTTGATTTTTCCTGCTTTACTTTTAACGTTTGCATTTGGTTGAAAATTTTCTTCGATGTTTTTAAATCTCGATCGATTTTCTCTGAAACAAAAAAGAATATCAATGAAGGTGTACAACAAGTATATGGTTTTGTTTGAAATTTTAAATCCGCATTAAATAATGTCTCTTTAAAACGAGTTTCGTGGAAGATGTTTACACGAGAAGGAAAACTTAGGTAATTATTCGAAGAGCCGGATTACAGGCTAATTCCCTTTACCTACGATCTGCATAAACTTTACTTCTCAACTCCGGTCTGCCCGTTACGGCGACACTAAAAACGCATTGATCCGTAACTTATTTCCAGCGCCATCGGTTCCCACAATCCCTCTTTTATCCCAAGACTAGCAAAGCAAACTTCTTCAATTCCGACTCATGAAATATGCAAACCTGCTTTTCCTATTATACAAACTTAATATTAACATTTAAATGGGAAAAATACGGTAAAAGTATCAGTTTGTTATTTCTACATATACAGAGTGATGCCAAAACCTTGCCAAAATAATTCAAACTCTTCTTATCGAGCTATAATCATTTTAAGTTTACTAACATGAATCACTCAGAGTAAAGTCATTTTCCCTTTTTTTCAACTCTGTGGCTTCATCTTATTATTCTGTGCAAACACCATGTATACACTAACAACTTGCGTTACTAGAATGTCTCATTCGAAAAGGAATGGAAGAATAATACTTGAATACTTAACTTTATACGACCTGAATTCAATTATCTAAATACCATGTCTATAGAAATATCACTAAAACACTGGAAGAATTTAGAATGTGTTTTAACTGCTGATTAAATGGGATAGAATTAGCTGAGGAAATTTCAGCAAAATCCGCACTTTTGGGCAAAAAGGAAACTTTAGAAATCCATTGAGCTTAATTGTAAAGTTGAAATTTGCCCAAACCTTACTGTTACTGTAACAATATTGCTAACGATACCAATAACTATAGCAAGTAATAAAGGAGTTTCTCTAAGTTAAATTATATTAAAAATTTCTGCGTTTCGACTACCACATAAAATCATTACGACGATTTTAGGTTTGGCCAAAATTGAGCATAAAATTGCAAAACGAGACAAAAAGTTTGTGATTTGAATGCTAATGGTTTAGATTTTCCATTGATGATTTGTGTTAAAACAGCTCCCATACCTATGTTACATGCATCATTTGACAATGATAGGTGAACAGGGATGTCCTAGAAAGATAGATTTTGACAGAAAATCGTCGCTATTGTTTAATCTCGTCCTGGAAAGGGTAATACGAGGAATTGCACTGAAACCTATGATATACAATCGGCAACTTCAAATACTGGCGTATGCGGATGATGGTTGGATAAAGCAGAGCAGCGTTAGAGGAAGCCCTTGAACAATTAAACGATGCTGGAAAACACCTTTGGTCTACAAATAAGTGAAGGCAAAAACAGATATATGGTTACAGGACGTAGTTTACCTCTATAGGGAGCAGTAAATATTTAGATTGGGGTAACAGCCTTGGAATCTTGAATAGCAGGGAACAGATCAGTGTTTATGACAAGCTACTATGGTCTAAACTTTTCACAAGAGGCTATCAAAAAAGGCTGTACAAGATGACATCTTCAAACCTGGGAGGATGGAGACAATTAATTAACTAAGAGATAAGAGAATTGTAGGAAGAACCAGACACGAGAGGACCATCGAACAAGAGGAAGGCCAAGGTGGCGAATATTATGGACAATGTTAGGAAGGATTTTAGCGCCTTGCAGGTGCAGAACTTGGGCAATTTAGCCCAAAATCGAGTTGAATGGAGGCGTGTTGTGGAAGAGGTCAACGCTCACAATGAGCTGTAGTTCAATAGTGTGTATGTGTATAATTATCCATCGATAGAAGGGACTGGACACTGATCAATTTTGCAGTGATGTTATTCTGTGACAGGGTTGTATGGTTTGGTATAAAGATACAAGTACAAATATTCATATAATCATTAGCCATGAATGCCATGATGGTCAAAAGTGTATCATAAAGCTGTCATAAAATTAACAAAATCGCAAATTTTACTTTGTTTTGATACATATTGATTAAAATTTTCTTGCTATTTCTGTTTGTTTTTATAGTAGTTAAAAAACTTTTGTTAATGTAAACAATTCACGTAAATTGGTTTGGTGAAAGATAAATAAATACACTCGGGACCGCGAAAGGCCATCTCTTTCTAAAACATCAATAAAGGAGGGGAGATACGCGCGAAATGAGTTCAACCTTTTTGACGCTTTTATTATTATTATTATTTATTATCAAAACTTCGTATCTGCGGTCTTAAAACCGTAATAATTTTAAAACAAGTACAAAATTCCAAGTGATGCAAAAAATTTTAGTTCATTTTAAAATATTTCCATTTTTTTACAATTCTTTAAACGTGCTGTACTTCCCAAAAAAAATCTGTAGCAATGACAATTTTTAAAATACAGATTTTGAATAATTTAATTGTTGGATTGATGAAAATTCAAACCTTTTCAACGTTAAAATAATTAAATTTAATCGCCCTCTGTTTTCGGAAAACGTTAAAACCGTCAACGTCCCATCGAAATGTAAAATGCATTGTTTATTTCTCTCGACAGTTGTACATAAAAAAATATTGTCGCATTTACGTTTTAAAACGATTCCCCAGGTCAAATGGTGTTCGATTCAAAATTTATCAAAAAAAAACACATAAAACATAAACAAAAACAGTTTTAAAAAAAGTACAAAGCAACATTTAAATAACAAACGTGCGCCGTTTGTAAACAACGAAATACGGTATCCGGTTGCAACGTCGGAAACGAACCGACAACGTTGCATATGGATTTTTTTCAATTCCGTAATGAACGCATGATGTGACGGTGGTATAAAGCGCATCGCGGTTCTACAAATAATTGTTTTTGGTCGAGAATGATCGTTGTTGAGCTTTGAAATTTTGAAACTCACTGGGATGATGCTTGTTGGTTGTCAGATTTCTCTATTGGGTTTTCTCCCAACAAATATCCAAATTAATTTGTTAATATTCTAAATAGATATTGTCAAGTAATGGATAATGTTTATTAATTGAAATTATAATACAGTAAAACCTTGTTAGAAGGGACTTCGGATATAACGAACAAAATATTTTTAAGACATAGTATTAATATGATCTATTTAATATATTAGTACATATACAGGATGTATCTGAATTACTGCAACAAACTTCAAGTGGCGATTCTTTAGTGAATTTTAAGGGTACTTTAATATATAAACCATGGGCAACTTCGGCTCCCCTAAGGAGCTACACCCCTCCAAAAATGGAGGAAAATTTTGATTTAATTTAAGTCTAACCAGTTTCGACATTGGCCATCTTCAGAGATTCTACAAATAGATTAACATATCTCATCTTATCTATTTTACAAACAAGTTTCTTAACATTTCTTTTTGTTTTGTTAAAAAAGTTCACATATCAATGTCGAAATCAGATTATTAGTTAATAAGTTTACAGGTTAAAATTTAAACACACTCTTTTTTAACAAAAAAAATATTAAAAATCTTGGGAAAAATTCAAAAATCATCATGTGGTTTAAAGATCGACGATTTTTTTTTTAACCAATGTAAAAAAAAAAGTTAAAAATAAAAAGAAAGTGCGGAAAAGTGACTAACACTAGATTAACTTCAGTTATAAACCTTCTATTATATGATAACTAACTGCAGGTTTAAAATGTCAACCACAATTTTGACATATTTGTAATTTTCATTAAAAATCCTTTAAAATGAGTACAAACACGACATATTTATCTTCAATATTAATAAAGTTATGGTCAACTTCCGGTTAAGAATGTCAACGTCAATTTTAACATACCTATTCTTAATTTTTATAAAATGTCTTAATATTTGTCACAAAAACAAAAATATAATTAAAAAAATAAAAAATTAAGGTTGGTATTAATATTTAAAAATTAAATTGCTATCTTCATTGTTGCTAACTTCGGGTTTAATGTTTTTTATTCTAACTTTTTTGTTTTTTGAGATAAGTGCGTCATCTTTGGACTCATTTTAAAGGTTTTTTAATGAAGATGACAAATATGTCAAAATTGACGTTGACGTTTCAAACCGGAAGTGATTGTATTTCCATTAATATTAAAGTTAAATATGTCGAGTTTGGACTCATTTTAAAGGATTTTTTATGAAGTTGACAAATATGTCAAAATTAATATCGAACTTTTTAGTTTTTTGAGATAAATGCGTCAAGTTTGGCTCACTTTAAAGGTTATTTTATAAAGATTACGAATATAATAATAAAATTAAAGTTGACATTGACAACTAAAAGTTGTTTTCACGACTAAACCCCAATGTTTCTACTTCTCGTTCTAGTTTTAGTTCAATAAAAATATGTAACATAGTAATATCTTATGCTAACTAGCTAAACTAGCGCTGCCAGTTACTGCCAGTAGAACAAACACTAGCAATAGCATTTTTAAGACGTGTCGAATATTAATGTATTTTAAAAAATTACGTTATGAACGTCATTTTGACATGCAATATCTAGGTATAATTATGACTCTGTATTTACATTCCTAAAAAAAGATAATAAAAGCTTTTTAATATCTACAACGATATGAAACTTTTTAATGAAGCACAGCTTGTGTATAGTAAATTATTCACGGTTGTTGTTACTATCACAAACCCTTCGAGAGATGGCGCGGTGTTTTTAAAATGAAAGAGAAATGCAAATTGAGGTGAATAAAACAGCTGGTTACCTTGATTTCACCATAGAAATAAATTAAATCAATATCTTCAAAACAAAGTTTTAAGGTAACAATTTCTTTTTATTCAACTTCTTAACTATTTTAATCAACAAGTTTTTTTTATCTAATCGATATTAAGAAAACTTTCAAGTTTATAAAGTTTTTTATTAAATTTCCTTCTTAATAATTAAAGAATAACTATTTAATTTTGATTCAAAAAGCTTTTTATGCAAAGGATAAACTAGAATCTTTTTGTGTCTGTTTAACGTTCAAATAGAGCAGTTGCTGTGATTCAGATTCAAACATTCAGATCGTCAATAGTCA